TTTAATTAATATGTGATCTTTATTCCAAAATGCAAGTAAAGCATTTAAATGTTCTTCCTTTGAACATTTTTGAAATAGAAAACTATGTTTTCCCAGTGTATCTGAACAATGACAGTGTCTTAAGTTATAAAACATTTACCTTTAAAAATTTAAAATTTACCTTTAAAAAGTGTACCACATATAAGGATGATATGCCAATGAAAAAACGTTGTTTTTTCAGGAGAAATTATGGCTCGTATTGCACAGATGCCTTACTATCAAGGATCTAGGTCCGTGATGGCGAACCTATGGCACGCGTGCCACAGGTGGCACATGGAGCCATATTAGTGGGCATGCCAGTTCAGCTCTGGGGCGCATGCGCGCGCCGGCCAGCTGATTTTCGGGCCTTCTGGGCCCACTAGAAGTAGGGAAACAGGCTGTTTCCTGCCTCTGGAGGGCCTGGGGGTGTGTGGGGAAGGCCCGTTTTTCTTTCTTACCTGGCTCCAGATCCTCTCTGTGTATCTGGGAACAGCGAAAACAGCCTTTCCCACTTCCTTGGAGGCCCTACGGAGGCTCAAAGGGCCCATTTCCCCACTCCCGGTGGGACAGGAAGTGACATTTTTTCCTGTCCCCAGCCTCCAGAGACTCCTAGAGAGGCTCCTACAGACTCCTAGAGAGGCTCCTAGAGACTCCTAGAGAGGTTCTGGAGGCTGGGGACAGCAAAAAATGTCACTTCCTGTCCCACCGGGAGATGGGAAATGGGCCTTTTCAGCCTCCGTAGGGCCTCCAAGGGAGTGGGAAAGGCTGTTTTCGCTATTCCCAGATACACAGAGAGGATCTGGAACCAGGTAAGAAAGAAAAACGGGCCTACCAGGCCATCATGTGCCAGGAGCGGAGGGGGAGGGGGTTGCGCACACATGCGCGTGGGCACGTGCACGCGCGACCCTCCCCCGCCCCCCTCTCCTGGCACGCGATGGCAAAAAGGTTAGCCATCACTGATCTAGGTTGAGGGTGGGGACTGCGAAGACGGTAGCGTTAATCAGGAAGGATAAAAATCAATGTTTTTTTTAAAAAAATTAAAAAATTAGATTTTTAAAATTTAAATCGGATTTTTTTATTTTTATTAAATTTATTTTAATAAATAGTTCTTTTTAATAGATAGATTTTTTTGGAGTAAAAATCTATCTAAAGGTAGTTTTCTATTTAAGATACATTAATAATTTAGTTTATTCAGCATGAAATGGAGCTGAGTTATGTAGCATGAGGCTATATATTCTGCAATATTGGGACTGTCGATGAGTCAACAGCGGGTCAGAGGAGGAGCCATTGTGGGACAGAGATGACAGTTGCTTTTTAAAAATTATGATTTGGATCGAGTTGATTTAAATCAAGCCTTTTTACTAGTGATTTAAATCATGATTTAAATCGACTTGATTTAAATCAAATCCACCCTGGCATTAATCATGAGGTTGCAATTGCCATCATTATCTTCTTGATATCCCTTTCCCCCCATGGATGTCCACCTCAGTTGTTTTGCAATCCTGTAACAATAATGACTTTTCCTTAGCTTGGAAAAGAGTTTGACTTCTAGAATTCTTGTGGTTTTTTTTCTTTGCTTTGCTTAAATTACATGAAGCTTCCCATCTCTCATTCGTGTAGTGAAGGATGCATTGTAGATTCTGGCACATTGCCAACATTTCATCTTAGGCCATTGTACTTCACTAACTTGGCACATTATCATGGTCTTCTCAGGTAAAGACAGTGGCTTCTGGCAGCCCCCAGGGGTAGAGCCTTCTCGGTCGGTGCGCCCACCCTCTGGAATCAACTCCCCTTGGAGCTCCGATTAGCTCCTGACCTTCGCACCTTCCGCCGGGAATTAAAAACTTGGCTTTTCAAATCCCTTGACCTGGACTGATGATGGGGTTTTAATTAGTTTTAAGGGTTAATTTTAAATTTTTTTTAGATTTTGGTCTTTATTTTATATTGTGGCTTGTGTTTTATTGTTGTGAGCCGCCCTGTGTCCATTGTGAGATAGGGCGGCATATAAGCCAAATAAAATAAATGAATAAATAAATAAATAAAGAGAAAGACTGGGAAAAGGTAACTAGTAGTAACTAGTATTTCATTTTGTAATAGCTATGCTAAAACAATGGCCTATATCCAGGGGTGAAATACCGATCCGGTAGCAATTGTGGCAGGTGGATTGGAGAACCGGTAGCAATGGCGGCGTGAGGCTCCACCCACCTGCCCGGGTGTCGTTACTTCTTGCTTTTAAAAGGTAAAAAAGGCTCTGACAATTACAGCTGTGCCGCACGATCGTCAGAGCCTTTTTTAACCTTTTAAAAGCATTTTTTTACAACCTAGTTGCCAAAATAGGTTGTTAAAAATGCTTTTAAGTTAAAAAAAAAGGCTCTGATGATCACAGCTGTGGCACGCAATCGTCAGAGCCTCTTTTTTTACTTTTAAAGGCATTTTTTTACAATCTATTTGGGCGAATAGGTTGTAAAAAATGCTTTAAAAAGTAAAAAAAAAAAGTTGGCCACACCCACCGTCACATATTTCCCCCCCCCCCAAGCCATGCCCACAGAACCAATAGTAACAAATGTTACATTTCACCACTGCCTATATCCCTACTTGGACCCAGGAGACTATGACTGAGACCAGAAGCTTCATCTACTTAAGTGCTTAAGAATGCTGATCTCCGAGAATAAAAATGAAAAAACAGAGGCATAACTGGTGTTTAAAATGCCAAACTTGATCTGAAGGCCAGCAGTGTCCAATTAGGCTAGACACTTCTGGTATTTAGGGAGCAATCTGCCCATGGTAATGCTGATTCAATAGAATCCCTGCTACAAGAACACCCTCTTATTTGCTTTGCCTCTTGATTTGAGAGTTTGTATACTTTTAAAAGATTTTTTTTCTCAATAAACTTAATTTTGTGTTAGGACTTCATGATTGGCTTTATGGATTTGTGACAGTAACAATCTAACTTGTTTAGGTAGGAGGCCCTATTTGTGGCTTTGGTAACTTCTTTATTTACTTTTAATAGGGATGGTCTGTAAATTCACTCATCCACCCTGCCTTCACCTAATGTTAATAAGTATTCCTTTCTTTCAAGGCTAATGTGAAGATCTTAGGATGGCTAAACAGAGGAATGAGCAGTTGGGGTAGGGGCTGTTTACCTTGGTAACTTTGAAAGGTTCCACATTCCACAATATTCTGCGTAGACACATTTGTTCATATAAGTGAATGCATACCATTGAAGAAAAACTCAAGGAAGTAGCCATTTAGATATTTAGCTATCTTTATTTAAAGTAATACTATTTATAATGATTTTTTATTTCTCAAACAGGTAGTGAAACGTCTTCCCAAAACTCGATCAGGAAAAATCATGAGAAGATTGCTACGGAGAATAGTGACTGATAATATTAGTGATATGGGAGATATCACAACACTAGATGATCCCAGTGTCATAGAGGAAATACTTGAAACGTGTAAGAAATACAAACTTAAGCATCCTACTCTATGATGAATGGACTATTGTGAAGATGAGTTCTGTTAAGAAGCTGAAGGAACAAAAGGAACTATTAGATTTATTCTTGATACATTAAAGAGCTATACTTATTCATATAAAATCCAAAAAAAAATTCCTGAAAAGAATTTGCATTGTAACAGTTTACCTCTTGCTACATCAAGTTTATATTTTCTTTTCTTTGAAAACATGGAAAAATAATTTTCAAACTGCTGGTTAAGACATATTCTGCCTTTGTAAACAGAGTATAGAAACTTAAGGAGTAAGTTTGCATTTAGCCTTAATATTTTTGCCACCAATATATAAAACATTCTTTTAAAATCAGCCTTACTGTACTTTTTTCCTAATTTTACCTTATCAGATGAACTGAAATGCTCCATACTTTAAAGTTATGTGAATTTCTTTTAAAAATCACACACAATGACCTTTTTTTTATACTATACGAATTTCAATTTACATAATTGAAAGCCAAATTAAATTCAAAACTGTTTATCAATACTTATGTATAACATGTGGGATCTTATGGCAAATGATTGATCCTCAATAAGAATTAACGTTTTACATTGTAAGCAACAGAAATTGACATGTTTATCTTACCCAATATTAGTAATTTTGGCTTCATCTTTAGCATTTAGAAGTGCAATAATTTTGCACCTATTAGGGTCACCTAAATTGTGTCTCTGTCTTTTCAATACAATGTCCTAACTATTCCCTTTCAAAATCATACAAATCACAGCAAGATTACCCTATTTCTCTACATTCCATTTCACTTCAAACTCAATAAATAAAAAAACCCACAAAATACATATTGTATAAAAATAAGTACTGTCTTTTCTAGAGATACTTTCTCTTCTTTCAAAGCCATGCTAATATACCTTCCTCCTGGATAGAACATTCCCCCCTCAAGGTTCCTCCCCCCCTTTACTCCAAATGCAACCAGCCTTTCGAAACGAGCATTTCTGATGTTCTTTTCACGTGGGAACTAAGTGGATGTTCTGCTGATCCCGCCCCCTCTCCAAGTGACCAATGAAGTGGGGCGTGGTCTTAGCTGATTCGTTGAACTTAAGCGGTTAAGGATGGAGGCATCTGTATGAAGGGGGCAAGAGAGTATTAGGCAATCAAAGTGGAAAAAGCGGGGAGGTTTATGTAGAGGCAGCAGTGAGTCATCGCCAAAAGAGCGATGGGGCATGGCTCTATGGAGGCTGTTGGTGGGTTATGAGGGGCGATGGATATGGGAGACATCGGGGCCCCCTCTGAAGCAGGCCCAGACACGCGTTGCCCCCCTTGAACACCCTCGGTTGATAGCGCGGAGCTGCCACTCGGGGACTAGATGGTGGTTGGGCGTTTCTGAAGGGAGGGGCGGGTGTCTGGCGCCACAATTATTGGGCAAGCTCAGCCGAGGGGGTGGGGCGTCATGGCGGCCTTCGGGCGCAAGTCGGGGTGGGGGCGTGGCTTCTGTGTGGCAACCGTTGAAGCAGGCTGGAGCAAGGGGCGGGGTTTCGCGGTGTGGGCCGGGAAGCGGGGCTTCTCCTCGGCTTTCTCTAGCGATCCTCGGCGGCTGGCTTGGACCCCCGCGGTTGATCTCTGTATCTCGGCGGGCCATTCACCGCAACATGAATGAAGCTGACGGCCTGCGGCAGCGGCGGCCCGCCCGGCCGCAAGTGCTTACCGACGAGAACGCGGCGCAGGCAAGCAAGGACAGCAGGTGCGGGTGAGGTCTTTGCTTTTCTCCTGGCCTCTCGGCGTTCCCTCTTCCCCGGGGAGGATAGGAGGCACCGCGGCTTTCGGAAAGGGCGAAGATTCGGAGGGCGTCCTCGTCTCTTCCCCCTGCCCTGCTCACCCACAATAATACGGGGAGGTGGGCGCCGGCTTCCTGAACCGGTGGGAGGGCCAGGCTGGAGCGGCCCGAGCGCTTCTTCCGCCCCTCGCGTGGAGAGCTCGGTGCCGCCGGAGGGAGCTGGGGGGGTGGGGAAATGAGCGCTAGATACTCAGGGGTTTAGGCCTCTTGGTGTTTAGGAATAATAAATATTCCACAGCCTTTGCTGCTAAGAATGCCCTGGGGGTGGGGAGAAACCCCACGCTGAAGTCAAGGACAGAAATGCCATTAAAAATAATGAGTGGGTCTCTGAAGATCCAGGGTAAATGACGGTGATAGCGCCTCGAAATGGCTTTTGACATGACTGGGCTCGATTGGAATCGGTGGGAATTAACAAGTCGGAAGTCCAGAAGGGAAGGTCTGGTGGTTTGTTTTTGTTTTTTTTATGAGGAGTGGAATGGGTCACGGAATGAAAATAATCTCTTTCTCTCGGACTTTGCAAAATACAAGTAAACGCCCACTGTTTGTTATTATTCTCGGCAGTTGTTTTAAAACGGTCTCTTCAATTTTTTTTAAAAAAAATGCAGGTAGGGTAATATGTGACATGTCATTTTTTTATAGCAACAATTTTATATATTCACATTACACATACAACTGATGAAAAAGCATTATCCTTCTGCTGGTGGCAGAATGTTTTTCTTAGATTAAACAATTTTAACCTATAACCAATGTGTTCATAATTTGTTATTTTTCCCCATGCGCTTCACTTTCCTCTAGAAAGTGTAAAGGCTCTGAGCTGTGCAAAGAAAAAATTCTATAATGGAGGCAGTAAAACCACAGCAATTAAAAAACACTTACGAAAGCCATAGTTTTTCCTTCTAAGATGTATAGTAATTGGCTATGAATAAATAGGTACTTAAAAACACTCATTTACTAAGAAATTGTATCTTTATGTATTTGTTTATTTATATCCAACCTTCCTCACAACTACAATTTGGTGAGGTGAGCTGAAGGAGAGTGACGGGCCCAAGGTCACCCAGCTGGCTTTCATGGCTAAAACAGGTCTCTTGCTTTCTAGCCTGTTGCCTTAATCACTAGACCAAGCTGGCTCTCTTTCCTACTTAAAACAATATAATATATGGAAGAAGTTATACTGATATTTCAGGAGCTGCTTTGTTGTAGTAAAGGTGATGGATTAGAAAGTGGGGAGTTGTAAATCCTAATCCTGTTTTACACATACAAGCTGGTTGGGTAACCTATCATTCATTCACTTGCAGCCCAACACATGTTTCAAGAGTTACTATGAGAAAGTAGTAGGAGTGAATATTCTCTTTTTCTAAAAGTAAACATGTTCTTGCAAAATTGTTGATCTTGTGTTTTGCATTGTCATTGCCTTTTGGTGATCTGCAAGAAATAGCTTACTAATTAGTACTTTTTTATGTTGTAAACTTGAGACAGGAGAAGTGAATTAGGGAAGCATTCTCCAGGTTGTTGCTGTATACAGCATAAATAAGGTAATCCTCAATTTACAACCATTCATTTAATGACCGTTCAAAGTTACAATGGCACTGAAAAAAGGTGACTTATGACCAGTTCTCCCAGAGTCATGATCAAACTTTGGATGCTTGGCAGTTGGCATGTATTTACATATCAGGGTCCTGGGATTACTACTTGCAACATCCCTAGGGAGCTTCTGACAAGTAAAGACAATGGGGGAAGCTAGATTTGCTTAATGACCATATGATTCACTTAAAAACTGTAGTGATTTGCTTAACAATTATGGCAAAACTAATAAAATGGGACAAGTCTCATTTAATAACTGCCTTGCTTAGCAACAGAAATTTTGGGCCCAATTGTGGTTGTAAATGGAGGACTACCTGTATGAGTTTTCCATAATCCTCAAAAAGCATAATCATCATGAGTGTTATATCAAAAACTCACTCCCTCTTTCTCTGTTATTCTTGGATACTAATGGAGGCACCACATTAAAACGTTATATGTCAATCTTGCATTATTTATGTGGAAATAAGACGGTGATTATTTCCAACTCAGGGTGCATAGAATTTCAGAATTTCATTTTTTGTGAATGAAATTTTATATTTGGCTTGTTTTGATGAAGACAATCTCCATCCTGTTTGTGGATTCCATATTGTGGAAGTAATAATTTAAATGTCAAATCTAATGGATTCAATATATTATATCTATTTTAATCAAGCCACAAAACAGGACTTCCGGTGGCTCCGCGAAACGCCGACGGAGCCCCGTGACTCTGTTTGCCACTAGAACAGCGAAAATCAGCTGTCTAGCGGCTTAAAAACTCTCCCCCAGAGAAAAGGAGGAGAGAAGAGCAGAAGGGTCTGGGTAGAGCACCCCTAGACCCCCAGGCTTTTTTTTTTAAACCTGGTGTTTGCAGAGTGAGAGCTCTCTGAAAGCCCTTCAGAGCTCCGGAGCCGGGACAAGTCTGCTTAAAAATAAGCAGACTGAAGCATTGCGACCACACCAGCAAAGCAATTAGAAAGATTATAAAGAATTTGGACTCTGGATTTTGGATGCTGGCAGAGTTAATCCAGGAGACTAAAAATGCAAGTATTGTATATTAACTCCGTTTAAAAAGGCAAAGATGGTGCCTTAGGGCGTGAAAACGAAACTTATAAGTGAAGTGAAAGTCCTTGTTAACATCAGTAATATTGTTAAAACTATCGGGTTATTCAAGAAAAAGATTTAAAGTGGAAGTGGAATGGAAAAGACTGTGGTATTCATTTTAACTAACTTACATCCTTAAATTGCATGGAAAATAATTGGATTTAATGACCTGATAGCCGAATTAATACAAACATAAAGACAACTGAAAAATGGCTGAAATTAAAGATGGATTATATGAGCCAGCAAATTTACAAGTGGTGACTGCGAAGGACTTAAAAGACTTTTTAAAATCTTTTACTGTTGAGATAAGACAGATAATTAAAAGAACTATTCAAGATTTTAAATTGGGGAATAATAATGATTTGCTGGCTGGAAAAGAGGAAGAAATTAATCAGGATAATGTGCCTTTGGAGGATGAAAGAGACATTGTTGGGGCTAAAATGGAGATTATTGTACCGAGAATGGAGGTTTTGGAAGAGGCTTCTATTCAATTAATTGAGAAACAGCAAGAAGACTCTTTACTGCAGGTTGATAAATATTTTGACAAGTTTTGGCTCTACAGACAGACTCAATATATAAGGAACGAACTGATGGTCTACAAATTCAGGAAGAGTTGAAATGGGGGCTTCAAGTTAAAGGAAACAACCCCAAGAAAAGAGCGAATTCCAAAGACACACCAACTACAATTTCAAACCCAAATTTTTTTGAAAATAAAAGCAGGGGGAGGAGCAATGCTGAAGAAGAAAGTATTATTGAAGAAGGACTTGAAAAAATATAGAAAGAAAGAAAGATGGTCATATTTTGGAGATTGTCTCATGATGTTAAAAGATTTAATTAAAGTTGGATAACTTTTGAATCTTATGGTAGTTTTAAAGTATTGAAGTTTAAAGGTAAAAAAATATAGAAAGAAAGAAAGACTGGTCATATTTTGGAGATTGTCTCATGATGTTAAAAGATTTAATTAAAGTTGGATAACTTCTGAATTTTATGGTAGTTTTAAAGTATTGAAGTTTAAAGGTGGATAACTTAAAATTTAATGGATAACTTTTTGAAAGTTTTGAAACTTATATTTTGGAGAATGTTCTGCTAATGTATTAATAGATTTTAAAATGTTTAAAATAAGATTATGGGTTTTTTTTTTACAAATGTGAAATGTGATAGAATTTATAAAAGGAAGGTTGAAGTATAATTTTTAAAAGGGGAGTTAACAAGTGTGAGAGAGTTTTGAATTCTGTAATAGTTAGCATATTTTAGCTTATGTTTGTTAAATGCTATATCCTGTTTTTGCTCTGGGAAGTCGGGGGGGCGAAACTGGGGAGGGGGTTGGGTGGGGATAAAATGATGTATGATAATTGATTATGTAATGTTTGGTTGTTTGGATATAAAAAATAAAAAAACTTTTATTTTTTAAAAAATAAAATAAATAAAAATAAAAGCCACAAAACAGAAAAACTAAAAGCAGTTTTGTTCAAAGCTCAAGTAGTTTGCTTTTCCGAGCTTTTATTCAAATCCCAGTAGTTTGCTCAAAGCTATCTTTCATAGTCTACCCATAACCAAGAATCATATATAGATATGCTTCTTAAGAGAAGGGCTGAAATCCTCACAATTTTTCTGTAATATTTAGCTAATACTAAAGCTGTTGTATCATAGAGCTTGTATTCATCTTTTATATTAACAGAATATTACAAATTTAGTGCCTGTTCCATGTATATGCCTATCTAAAAACCCTGAACTTTCTATAACTGGGGGTGTTTGTGAAATAAGACACCCTATTGATTTGGAAAAATGGTAACTGAGGGTTTGTAAATCATTTTTTATATTGGTTGGGCAGGGATGCCTCTGAGGATTGCAAGAAATTTTCACACATTTATAATACCTGAAAATGGCAGTTATCAACAGTCTTGATAAAGTGGTCTCCATCAGCTGCAAAAAGAGAATTTGAGAGGCTGGTATGGATCTGAGACCTCAGGTTGTCCACCTTGTAGTCTACACAAATTTCAACAATACTGTTCAATTGTACTTCAAATCATAGCAATTTTACTATCTTTTAAGCAGAGTAGACCTGCATTTTTGTCTATGAGCTACTAAAACAAAATTATACCAAATTAGCATCCAGAGTATCTCCATGCCTTAGAACTGAAGTTACATATATTGGATAAATTTGTTTTCCTTGAGCAAAGACTGCATGCTACTGTTAAGGAGGGAAGCTTTATGACCATACAGTATCTAGAGCACGTGTGTCAAACTCATGGTGTCATGTTGCCGTCACATGATGTTTCATGACATTTTTCCCCCTTCGTGGAGCTATGGTGGGCATGGCCTGTGCATGATGCATCCTGCGGGCCATCAGTTTGACACCCCTGATCTAAAGGCACAGAAGATATCAAGTAGGATTTGGATATTTTGTTTACTTCTTTTTTCCTTTTACTAATCATTCCTGGTATTTAAAAAATCTTTCGTGAAATTATTGAAGGAATGTTTAGAACAGTAAGATTTAAACCAATTTCATCCATAGAATGTCTGTTTTTCCCACTTATTCTTAAGCTCTTTTTCAGTGCGTCTAATGATGTTTGAAGTCTAACCACAAATTATATAATTAATAAAGCAACCTTTCCCAATCTGTCCAAATTGATTACATTTCATCTCCCGGATTCCCACCTAGCATATTTTGAGATAATACTTGTGCTGATCTGGAAAAGTAAACATGCACAGCTGCAAATTCAACTGCATGTTTGCATAGTAGAAATTTACTTCCCTACAAAGTAATCTTGCCCTGAGATTGGTAAAAAGATTTACTGAAATATATTTGATAGTGCTAAGAAAGATGGTTTAAAAAAATGGGGAGATTTAACTAGTAATGGCTACTTGTCTTGATGGCTGTTCCCTGGTTTTGGAATTGCAGATAGCATAATTTAAATACTTTATTGGTGAGCAACACTATCTTTTTATTATCCATCTTTTTGAGCATCCAGAATGGATCTTATTAGCTACTGGATGACACAAACTATAACATTGGAATAGCTACTGGCCTGATATAGTAGACTCTTATATTGTTAGCTGCTCTTGTATAATCATGTTCTAATTTATGGTTTTGTTTATTTTTACAGTACTTACAGCAACAGGGTATTTCGTGTAACTTTCATGACTTTAGCTGTGTTATTAATTGTTCCATTATTTGGAGCGCTCATTTTTCTGGAGTGTCCAATAGATCCTCAGCCTATTAGGTGAGTACATAAGCCTGTTTAATATTAGAATTTTGCATGTGACTTAAACTTTCACTGAGGACGTTGTTAAGAGGGCTTTTTAGCTTTATGAATGGAACAGTGCTGTAGTCAACTGTTTAGAAAAACTGTTGTGCCATTACTTACAGTTGTACAGAAGTGAAAAACAACTGTTTTATATTTTCCAAATTAACAGGTGAACTTATGTGCCTCTTATACTACTTTTATTTGCTCCTTCTGGATCTCTAAACAATTCATTTAATAAATACAATATATTTAATTTAAAAGGTTGCCATTTTTCTTAATCATGTTCTTTCAAGTCATTGTCTTAATGTGTGCTATGTGCACATCAGTTTTAATGGTTATAATATTTTACTACTTCTGTATTAAAATTAGTATGTGGTAACTGTACGTGCAGAAAGAATGGAAGGCTCATTTGTAAAAAATGAACAGTTAATTACAGATTAAATATGTGAAGAAAGAATGAATTGGTCCAGAGAAATAGGAAGACGAAGAAAGTTTAATTTTATCCAAATAAACTTTCTTAGTCTTCCTATTTCTCTATACCTAGAAAAAAAGAGCTAAAAAAAAGAGAAGTGAAAAATCTAAAAAACAAAAGGCAATGTATGAAGCACTATACAGATAATCCTCAATTTACAACCACAATTGAGTCCAAAAATTATGTTGCTAAGTGAGACATTGTTAAGAGAGCCCCATTTTATGTCTTTTCTTGCCATATTAGTTAAGAGAGTAACTGCAGTTGTTATGTTGACTTTGCTTGTCAGAAGGTCGCAAAAGGTGATCACATGACTCCAGGACACTGCAACCATCATAAATATGAGTCAGTTGCCAAGCATTTAAATTTTGATAACTTGACCATGGGAATGCTGCAATGATCATGTGAAAAACGGTCATGTCACTTTTTTCATTGCTGTTATAACTTCAAATAGTCACTAATGACCTATTATAAATCAAGGATTACCTGTACAGATACACTAGAAACAGAGATAGTTTGCAAAGATAAAAACATATATAATACCTGTGTAATAAATGGAAATTTAAATTAGATTTACAATGGTACCTCAGCACTCAACTGTTTTGAAACTTATCAAATTTGGCCCCACACAGTAGGGGCCATAGGTGAGACCCATAATCACCACAGTTGGAATTGACCTCAAAGAAAGGAGGTGAACCAACACAATACCATGCCACCACCCTCAGTCCTTTGAATCAATCCAGAAGAATACCATGGTCAGTGGTACCGAAACCCACCAAGAGGTCAAGTAACGCAATAATGGATTTGAATATAGATTTTAAAAAGCTAGGTGGTAAGAATGATTTGGAAAAGATTAAACTAGATGTGTTGCTATTTCTAATAACTCTTAATGGACTTTTGCTGACCAGAACTGAATGATGAGGCTTTAAGGATATGTTTATAGATAAGGGATCGGATATGGAAAGAAGAAATCATTTGTTATATTTTAACAGAAATGGATAATTACTAAAATCGTTTATACTTGTGATGAAGGCAGAAGTAATTTCTTAACATATTGAACATATTTTTTTTTACTATATTTCCTTTTTTATTTTTCTTTCAACTCTTTTCTAATTTTTTTACTCCTTAATTTTTTAGTTTGCATTACTTTTTATCTTTTTAATTGTAATGTTTAATGTTGTTAAAATTGTTATCCACTTAATTGGCTTGATCCTTAGGCTGAAGGAAACTGTTGCCACATATGAAATTAATAATTGCATAAGTTGCTTTGGATAAATTAAACTATGCTGTTTTGAAAAATATCTGATATATCTAAGTTATTTGGTATCTTGTTATTTTTGTATTAATCTCCTCCGTATGCTTATGAAAATCTTCCTTCTTGACAGCTTTAAAGAACCTCCTCTTCTTACTGGTGCTTTAGAGCCAAATGTTAAGCTTCGACAAGCAGAAAGATTATTTGAAAACCAGCTTGTTGGACCAGAATCTATTGCAAATATTGGTGGTAAGCACAGATATTTGATGGAGATTTTTAATATCTGCTTAATAAGTTTATATTTTTCCCCAGAAATAACTTCTGGATTCTAAACTATAAAAATTCTGAATTCTAAGTAACATGTAAGATAATTTGTATCCAATAAAGTTTTATGCTGATATAATATTACTGTATCATACAAGTTAGCAAAAATCATACACATTTGTGAATAAATGTGATATTACAGAAAACAAAACCAGGTCTTTTCATTGTTCATATGCAAAGTGTTTACCAGTCTTCATAGATTCCAAATACTGAGGTACAATGAAGAAGAATGTGTGCATTTTTATTTAAAATCATGTTACTTTGTTAAATTTGAATTTCAGTCCAAAATCTGAATAGTGGGATAAGCATAAAATATGTGAAATAATATTGGACCTCTAGAATTGCATTTATATCAATCAAATATGGAAAATACAATTAAATAATATTTCTGTAATTACATTTTTATACTAACTATATCCGAAAAGGACACAACTGAGTGAGTGAGTGTGTGTGTAACAAGTTTCTCTTGTATCAACAAACTATTGATCAAAAGAGACTAATTTCATTTTAAAGTACCTTATGTGTAAATTATACTTTCAAATATGCAATATTTTGCAGGAATATGTGTACAGATTTAATCCAGTGATTATTCAGTTTATTTTAAATTTTCTATCATGAATATCTCTTTTCTTATTTATGTATTGTAAGTTATAACCTTACAAGGGAGTAATATAAATACATCTTGTAAAGAATTCCTGAGTGTATTGCTTGTAAATCGTAACGTTTTAATTGAACAAATAGAAAAAATGTTATATTTATTCTAACAGGGACTAAATTTCAACTTTACTTAAGACTAGATTCTCAGTTTCTGCTTATATCATTGCCTGTACAGGCTATCCACTGTTTCTGGAGTGCAGGATCAGCCAATGCTATCCTCCATCCATTCCCAAACCATTGCAAATGCACTCCTTGCTCATGTTTTGAAATTTGATTCAAAAATAATATTTTCTATCCTAAGCTATCTTCAGTGCTTGTCAGCAATTAGTCTACCTTGTCTCATTCTAGTCTAGGGAAGTCTTGAGATCCAGTTGACCACAATATCAGATATATTCTTTCCTTTCCAGTGGATGTTCTCATCTGGCCAGCAGCATTTTTTTTCTTTCCATTTGATTTATCAGTGACTCTAAAAGCTCATGAAATCCAGTAAAGTGTTTTGGTCACCTTGTTTTCTGTACCTGTTTTGATAGCACACTTGCATCACATTCTTTCATCTTCTAGTTGGTGGGGTGTGTGCCCTTTTGGTTTTTTCGCAGGCTGGGTACTGTACTTTGTTTTTCATCCTGTGCATCTTATACTAGAATGTTATCATATTTGAAGCTATTTTCCTTTGTTTCTGTGAAGCTGAGCCATTAGTTCCTCATTGCCACAAAGTTTCTGTAGAGCCACAGTAGAACACAGAAACCAGAAAAAAAACTTTATTCTCTTTGCTTTGATCATTGGAGCATCAATGTAATGACTATGCAGTAAAGGTAGGAGAAAGAATTTGCATTGGTGTCAGAGGGGAGAATATGGGAAGGAAGTGTGAAGACATCAGTGCCTGTAAACTTGGGAAAGCCATGAAAAAGGAGAAGGACTAGTGAAGAGGAACTGTTTTTTTAAAAAAGCAGGCAGTTATAGACATGTCCTCTCAGTGAGGCTTGACCTCTCTGCGTGAATGAGAGGGGCAAGAAGCAGAACAAAGGTCCCCGGTGGCCGTAGTCCAAATTGAGCAGTAACCTGGTCAATTGCTAAACAATTGCAATCAAGATGCAGATCTTTTAAATCAGCCTTGGGAACAACCAATTAATTTAGATTGCTGTGCAGAATTGTTCTAATTTATATATTATATAAATAATTACTCAAGCTCGCATTATTCCATATTCTCTTTTTTTTTTAAGAAGCAGCTGTTAAATGTATATTTTGGGGAGTTAAAATAATTGTTAATCCTTTGTGGATCCTATCAGCAATACAGGTTTCTGATTTTTGCTAATTAAAAACCCAATAACTCAATAAGCTTAATGTCCCTAAAACTGAATTTTGATTACATTATGCCAGAAAAAGATACTGAAAGGGGGTGAGTAAATTACTTAGTAATCTTTTGGCTTTTAGATTTAAATTAATCAAGCATCATATTATGATATATATAGAAAGATACATACAGATTCTAGATTTATTATCAACATTTAAAAATAACATTTTAAATTGTATTCTGAATTCTCAAGAGCAGATTGTTTTTGTTTTTTGTGAGGGTACAAAATGTATGATTCTCATAAGATACCAATAAGCTCATTTCATCTATTTTCCTGGAAAAGTCTAGGAAAGCCAGCAGAGAACTTTTGCTTCAGAAATCTGTTTATTTCTGAGAAACGTATATATAAAGGAAGGACTTGATTTCCACAATCCTTCCAACACTGGTAAAGAAGTCTATCCATTGTTGTTTTTCATTTTGTAATCTGTCTAGATCTTTACATGTTCTCTTTTTAAAGTAATTTACCTTCTATTTCTCTGTTCTTGAATAAAGGGCTGATTGTCCTAATCCCATGCCTTCCCTTTACCACAGAGTAGGGAGATTGCAATAGAGACATGAAGTCATTTTCCCCACGAGTTTTATCTTTTCATAAAGGCAGACCAGGTGATGAAAATACCACCTGTCTTCTGCACTGTAGTGGTGAGAGGAATGCTAGGCAAGGCATTCCTTGAAAGATAAGCAGTGGCAGTGGGATCTACCAAGTTACTATTCCAAGATAGCAGATGGTGCCAGGGGTTCTCAGAAGAGGAAGTTTGAAACTTTCATCATGCCACCCGCTAGGCTCATCCATGTCACCATTGATGATTTGGTTATCTGAAAAAAGATTAAAAGAAGTTAGATAAGGCTGAATAAGAGAAAATAAAATTAAGAAAAAGTAATTGTAGTTGTTTTTTATAACAACACTTTTAATGTTATGGGAATCTAGCAGTTTCTGAATAGTCTTCTCTACAATTTCAGTAGAGCTAAGAAAGCTATTTTTAGAAATCTAAGATAGATAATAACCATCATAGTGACAAAGGTATAATCATCTGATGAAATTAAAGATGCTCACAATTTGGTCCATACAGGCAATTCGGGACTTTCTATTCCATATATGAAACTTGCTGTTCCATGTATTAGAATATACAATATGTGAACTCATTCTTTCATTATCACCTAATTGAGGCAGTCTTTAGTAACAACTCAAAAGTTGCAGCTGGTATAAAATGATGTGGATTTTATATAATGTGGATTTTTACTGTTAATTGTTATTGTAAACAGCCATGACTGTAATATTTAAATAGAAGAACTATATCAATAAATCCCATCGGTGTAGACTTCCATTGATTTGAAGTAATTGCGGTAGGTTTCATTCATAATGCTTAAGATCATAAAAGCCCTTAATAGTGCAGCACCAACTTATATTTTCCATTCATTGTAAACATTTAGAGAGGTTCTGTTGAAGATCCATCCTTCTGGGAAGGTATACGGGATATGGACCAGGTGATAGGCCTTCTTAGTAGCAGCCTCCCAGCGAGTTTTTGACCCTTGATTTTTAGGCGACCATCATATATTATTTGTTACTTACATTACTGTTTTAATTGTAATATAGTTTGAATTGTTGCTATGCCTCAGGTCTATAAACATGATGGTCTATAAATAATAAAGCTTATTGCTAATGGAGACAAATGCATTTCAGTGATAATCTTATATTCTGTTTTTGTAAAAAATATGCCAATATGGAAGGCAAACTTTAGTTTTGCTCTTTGAGGGTTTTGTGACATTACCATATAGAAAGCATTTTTGGTGTTTTGAAATCTTATATAAGCCTTGTGTGTTAAATAACATGCATAGCTCATGTCACTGCTTGTCTTTCATAGATGTGTTGTTTACTGGTACTGCTGATGGAAAAATTGTGAAGATTGAAAATGGGAAAATTTCCACTTTAGCACGTCTTGGCCACGGTCCTTGTGGTAAACAAACACTACTTATTTGTTATTCCTTTTCTACTGTGATTTGACTTGTCTAATAAATCATTTCAGACTTGTTGCATACCTTCCACTGAATATTTTTAAATATATGAAAATTTATTTCATCCTATGTAGTTTGTGTATTTTGGAGTGGTACTTTTGGTTGTGTGGTTGTCCAACTCAGCATGGGCAGCACCGCACAGCATCCCCCAACCAGCCAGCCTGGCTGGGCCCTGGCTTTAACCCATGACAGTGGTTGTGAAAAACCTATGGACATTTGGTTAACAATCTCTTTTTAAAGTGAAAAATAACACGATAGGAATGGTTCACTGCAATAAAATCTTGATAATATTTCTGGTTAACATTCATTAAGTACTGTGATACAATATTCATCATTATGTGCTTAGCTTTATTTAGCAAGTGAAAAACTATTTAAAAAGGACCAGGTTATAAATGCACATCAGAATTTAGGACAAAATGAAATCAGATGTATTGACTATAAAAGCCTATCTAGCCTTATGCTTAGAGGAAATTTATTTATATTTATTTACAAGAGCCAGTTGGTGTAGTGGTTAAAGCATCAAGATAAAAACCAGGAGACTGTGAGGTCTAGTTGTGCTTTGGCACCAAGTCAAGTTAGAGTAATCTTGGGCCAATCGCACTCTCTTAGCCCTAGAAAGGAAGCAAGGGCAAACCGCTTCTGAAAATCCTTGCCAAGTAAACTGCAGGGACTTGCCCAGGCAGTCTCTGAGAATTGGATACAATTGAGCAGAAGAAAAAAAGAATATTAATTTATTCGGAGATGGGCAGTGAATCATTCTCCGGGTGTTACTGAACTCAGTTCCCTTCAGACTTAACCAACTTGATCAAGAAAAAGAGGTAATAAGAGTTGCGTTCCATTAATTGGAAGGTCATGTATTGTCCATTCCTTCCAAGTCTTGCAAGAGGCACTGTTTTAACTACATCAAAATAATATGGGTTTTGTTAATATTTTATTATATGAAGAAAAAGTATATAAAGCTAAACAGATATTTTTGAATATACAAAATTTATATCTTTTATTAGTCAGATTCAAGATGATTGATATTCTGTTTCAGAAGTACAATAGAAACTTCTGTTTAGAAGCTGCATACTTTATGTCTATTTGTATTTTCTAAAAAGGTACAAGAGAAGATGAGCCTACATGTGGGAGACCACTAGGAATCCGTGTTGGACCAAACAATACTCTCTTTGTTGTAGATGCCTATTATGGGCTGTTTGAAATAAATCCTATCTCAGGCAAGTCTACCTCTCCTTCTCCCCACATACCCATTGTGCCAAACCCTAGCTGGTTTTAACTACGGTTTGAATGGTAAGCTGTAAACCATGATATGCGAATGAATTTTGAATTCTGCTTAAGAATCTGCTAAATTTTTTCGAATCTTTATTATTAAATAAATTCAGCAAAGGCATAAGTAGAAATGATACACTCATGATTACAATCCATACACATATAAGTACAAAAGAGCAAAGAGTTTTTTTTAAAAAAATGTTTTTCTGTGACCAGGTGCAGTCAGGCCACTTGTGTCTTCAAAGATTCCTATTGAAGGGAAGAATATATCCTTTGTGAACGATCTTACAATGACTCGGGATGGAAAGAAAATCTATTTTACAGACTCTAGTAGTAAATGGCAGAGAAAAGATTATTCCTTATTAATCATGGAGGCTTCAGATGATGGACGGTAAATGTGCTTGCCTGAATTGTAAATTATATAACAAAATTGTGATCAAGCATCACATGGAGAATAATTTCCTGGGATAGTGGGGATGGCATTTCTAGAAACAAGTATTGTTATTTGATGGTTATTGTTAAAATATTTATTTAAAATAATGAAGTAACATTTAAACTTTGTTGACATTCTTAATTCAGATATCTTTCCTTATCCTTTCTTCCTTGGCATAGGAAATCTGTATTCTTTTCTATTCTATACATAGTTACAGTACTTATCTTCAAGGACAGTGGCCCCCAACTTTTTGGGCATCAGGGACCAGTTCCATGGAGATTTTTCTGTGGACCAGAGGGGGTGGTGATTTCGTGTGCTGCCTGCATCCCACGGATGGGGCTTTGCTTGTTTGCATGGCCCGGTTTCTGGCATGCTGCAAACTGGTGCCAGTTCATGGACCTGGGGTTGGGGACACTTGCCCAAAGATAATATGATGGGTATGTGGAGGAGGTTAGTGGTAGTTTGGCGCTACTGGCCCTGTTACAAACCTAAATACTACTTTGTTTCTTGATACAATTCAAGCATTGGAGATAAATGTAATTTTCAAGATACCTCCGAGACCACTGTATTCCATATTAACCTATGTGGGCCTTAAAATCTAATGATTGGTGAGGCATATTTGATTCAGGCAAGTTAAAAGGCCTTCTTAATGGTATAACTAAGCTCTGAAACTTCCTAGCCTGAGAGGCCAGTTGTTCCATCCATGCTGGTTTTTTTAATAGATTCAGCTATAGGCTGTTCTTATACATATGGGTAATTAATATATATTTTGACATACCGTTGTCAAAGATCATATTGAGATTGAGAGGGGATTAGTAATACAATTAGTAATACTCTGTAATTGTTTTGTCTTTAGTTTACTTGAATATGACACAGTCACAAAGGAAGTCAAAGTCTTAATGGAAGGACTCCGATTTCCAAATGGAGTCCAGCTGTCTCCTGCTGAAGACTTTGTGTTGGTGGCTGAAACAACTATGGCAAGAATACGAAGGTAGATGAGATATTTGTAAGGGTGCGGTATAGATCCAGCTATTTTGTTAAGAATTGACTAAATGCTAGTTTAGTTTATATGAGTAGACTTTTCCTATTTATGTATTATCCTTGCTAAGCAAGAGGATTTTTTACTCACTCTGTTCTGTAATTTCTAAAGAACGATACTGGCTAACTGAGATGCTATGTAGGTTTTGTGATCTTTGTTTATTTTTTAGTAAGCTGTAAACTTTATCCTGTCCTTTGTATTTGTTCTGTATTGCTACTGTTTTAATGTATTCTGTATTCTTCATACATGTTTTATAGTTCCAACTGTGTTCTGATCTTTCGGGTAGTAGATTAGAAATATAGCATAAAATATTAATACTTAATGTTTCGTATAGCAAATTTGTAAAATGTTATGCGTTTTTAGGTATTATGTATCTGGTCTAATGAAAGGAGGTGAGGACCTGTTTATCGAAAACATGCCTGGTTTTCCAGACAATATCCGTTTAAGCAGCTCTGGAGGTTATTGGGTAGCTATGTCAGCTATTAGAGCAAATCCTGGATTTTCTATGGTGGATTTCTTATCTGAAAAACCATGGATTAAAAGAATCATATTTAAGGTAAGAAACAACAGTAACAAATCTTATGTATCCACATACTAGACTGAGCTCAGCATCCTCTAAATGAAATTCTTTTGAATAGGTTCCCTTTGGAAATAATTTATTTCTTTTCCCTGTCCTGTTCCAGGTCTAGCCATTGCAACTTTTTAAAAAGTATTTTGTTTAATAACACAGAACAAGAGAAAAAGGATAAAATAATAAAAAAGTAGACATGAAATAAAAGGAATGCAACAATCATTGTAATAGTTGTTAAAGTTGCAATCAATGCAAACACACTGAAAAGTATGGATTCATTCGCACACAAAAAAGGGCTTGTATGAGTTTGTATTTTTAACTCCTTTGGCTCCTTGTTTGGCCATCTTAAAATATGGCAGTTTGGCAAATAAATATTTTCAGTTTGTAGTTCAGTAGATGGTTCTGTTGCTTTTACTGACATTCTGCATATATAACATCAACTTCTGGCTGTTAGAAAACATCATGTTGCCCTGCTTCCCTCTTCCTTACACACACACAGTTGCATGATCAGGAGATGGATACTTAGCAAGGTATTTGCATTTGCTAAGTAATTGTTAAGTAAACACCTCACACACACATATGTGATTGCTATTTGCAATCCTCTCTGCAGGCTTCCCCAGAAAGTCAGTAGAGAAGCTGCAGAGAAGGTTGCAAGCTGCTGCTGCTTGCCAAGAGGATTCCCTCTCATCTCTGGGGGCTGGCTGAAGGGCTGCCTGCTAAGGGGAGCTGAACTACTTCACTGTTCTGGAGATGATCCAGACTTCTGCACTCTGTGGAAGGCATTTTCTTCTGCACTGAGAAATGACATCCTCAGAAACGGAACTCGGATCCTGATGATTTGAGCTCTGTTTATGCATCTGCAGAAGGAGTTCTCTTCTGCATGCAGAGGAGAGACGACTTCTTCCCATTACCCTGTGGAAGGCATTCCCTTCTACATTCAGAAATATGACATCCTTTGGCAGGTAGCTTTTTCAGCCAGCCCCTGGAGACGAGAGGGAGCCAAACCCAAGCATAGAGCCAGCACAATAAGTTAAACAGTGTGAGGTGCCTCAAGTGTGTGTGGGAGGCCTGGGTGCTGGGATTGCAGTTGACCCAAAAGTCCACACAGGCAGTCATATGACATCACATTTAATAGCCACATTTCTCAGTGATTGAGATTCCAGCTCAATTTTGATCAAAAACTGAACTATATGAAGGATCGCTGCAAAAATCATGCAGGTTGGAATGGATAAAAAAGAATATCTTACTTAATGATGGGATATAGCAAACATTCTTCTTGTGCGTCATACTTAATGATGTGTGAGATGTTATAATTTGCTATTTTTCATAGTCCTACCATAATTATTTTAAAAAGTTAGACAATCCCAGGTTATAGTTATATAAGTTGTAGTTAACATTGTTAAAAAAAATAGTGTGATATCTTAGGGCATTCTCTAATTATGCATTTGGTAATGGCACAAATATAATGTAAAAAAATTCCAACTAGTATTGAAGTTTGCTAATCAAATATTTCAATGCACATCCATTGATTAACAGTAACAATTATTATCACTTATATTCCAGAGTGCTTAACTTTGTCTTGCATTATGCAAATTCAGGTATTTAAAACATGTTATAATGAAACAGTTGATAGTAATTGATTCAATCAACTCAAATGTTGTAATGTTGATGATTAAAAGAAAACTGTCTATAACTTGTTTGTGTTGCAGCTGCTCAGTCCAGAAACTGTGATAAAATTTGTGCCCAAGTACGGCCTTGTGCTAGAATTAAGTAATACTGGAACCTACAAAAGAAGCTTCCATGATCCAAATGGAGTGGTGGCAACATATATAAGCGAAGCACATGAATATAATGGACATCTCTATTTGGGGTCTTTCCGATCCCCTTTTATTTGTAAGTTGGACCTTAAGGATGTCTAATTCTGAGTTGAAAGCATTACTGCTGTCGCCTTGAATTACTCTAGAAAGACAAAGAAGGATGAGACGCATTTTGGACAAAAAAGATGAATGGAAGCACAGTCAGTCATGAGCGCTGTAACACTGTTTAACTAGCAGAATGCAGAATTAGTCCTTAACTTAGGCATGCCATATCTTAAAACCTGTGAATTACCTTGTTTAAATTCTCCTTCAAAATGGTGGGCTGTGTAGACGTTTTTGGTGCACTGTACCTTCTCTATAGCACCTTTATTACCTTTCCAGAAGGTAAATAAAATACAAAATTACCTCATGAAACAATATTTGTTGCATTTAATATTTTAGAAATGCTATTCAAATCCATTATATGTATGTGATCAGCTTTTCAAAATTCAAAATTTTGTCCTGTAAATACATCATTGCTCTGAAGTTGCTAATCTTAGATGATCTAATACATTGAACTTATTTCCAATTTGGATCTCTCTTTATAAGCATGTTTTAATGCATGCACTATATAGTAGCAGTGCAATTTATAGTTATATTAATAAATCAAACATACTGCAGCTGTAATTCCATTTCTAATCAATGCTATTTTCTCTGTGGATAGTTTTAAACACATGGAATTACTTGTATGGGAATCTCTAAATCTAAGGCTAATGTAACTAATTTCAGAAAAGCTGGTTTGTCCATTTTATTGTTCCTCTATTTAATCATCGACATAAGTCCTTGAGGCAGAAGAATGTTTTAATATGGGGGGTGGGGGTGGGGTTTTGTTAAAAAAAGTCAGAATGGCAGCCATAACCATGCAATCAAAGCTCTACTGCTTTTTAAACGTTTGTCACTATGTATATTAAAAATTGATGGGGCTTTGGTCAGATGAATGTGGTGACATTTTTTTTTACCTGTCTATTGCATAAATCTATTTAATATCCTTAACTTTTAAATGAGGGATCGACCCTCGTGCTGCTGAATATAACTCTCAGTCTAGCAGACGTGGTGAATATTATTTAAAATTACAGTCCAGTAACGTGTAGAATACTGTCATTTCTCCATCTTGCATTAAATTTTCATACTATTTCACTGGTATATGATGGTACTAATTTCCAAAGAAGCCTCTCTGCCTCTATCAGCTGATCAAAACTTCATTAATTTAATATTAAACATGAGGTTTAATCAAAAGTCTGTTAATTATGACTGAAACTTCTTTTTTAGATGCATAAGAAACTAATCTTGGCTACCCAAAGCATATTTTATTAAATAGATTTGGCATTATAAAGTTAAGTGCTTTCATTATGTATGAACAGGTTTTTTTTCCAAAAATGTTGACATAAAGAGTTTAAAAATCAGTATAAAAAAGTCATGCATATATTGTGTTGTTTCATTTGACCAGTTCCATCTCACGCATCCCTCCCATCCTCCAAACAACCCAGGTGGAACTCAAAATCCAAAGATAGCAAAAATAAACTGCATGTTCAATTAAACTGCATAGGCAGAATGCATATTTTTCTGATACTGCTTTTCAAAGAGGGAGTATCATCTGCAGACAATATCTGCATCAGGACATATCATTGGCTTTACTTACATGAACAGCCTCCACACACATATCAAAACAAAAACTTAAAACAAAAAAACAAAATAAAAACAGGTTCTTCTAGGTTGCAGATGGTTCACAAGTCCTGCATTTGAGTTTAACACTCAAGGGAGAGGAAGGAAGGATTGTTTCAAAACATCCATTTCATTCCCTTGGTAGAAAGCTAGTAGAGACCTATATAGTTTTTGTGGAGTGAGAGTTCCAGAATTCTCCAGAGGACAGTGTTTTGCCTAGCAACCAAGAGGGGAAAGAGTAGGAATTATAACAAATGCAACGTCCAATAACTCAACAAATATGGAATTTGGAAGCAAGAGATACAAATTTTGAGCTCACTATGGAAAATGCCAGTGCCTGACAAAATAATAATCTCTGTCTTCATCGGATACTAATCAAGTCGTTCTTGCTTAACTACAGTATTTCAAAATCAGCCACTTGCTACTACCCATTGGTCTACTTTTAAGTCCCATCTTTTGTAAAACACTGTTTATAGTAATGATGAGCAAGCAAAAAGGAGCCCTGGTAGCCAAGGAGCCCTGGTAGCACAGCAGACTAAAGCACTGTTACTAACATCAGCTGCCTGTAATTACTGCAAGTTCAAATCTCACCAGGCTCAAGGTTGACTCAGCCTTCCATTCTTTCTAAGGTAGGTAAAATGAGGACCCAAATTGTGGGGGCAATAATCTGACTTTGTATAAATATACAAAAGTATGAAGGCTATTGCTTAACGCATTGTAAGACGCCCTGAGTCTTCGGAGAGGGGCAGCATATAAATCACACACACAAAAAAAGTTCCTGAAATCTACTATGGTACAAAAGTGGGGAAAGAGGTGCCTTGCCAGTTGACTATAATACCTAATTGTCCCAATTAATATAATTGAGTTTTAGTTCATCAACCTTGTGAGAGCTTTAATTGTTTATATCCCAGAAATGATGGAATTAGGATCAGTTGACATGATATGCTAAGCCATAATATAGTTTATTTGGTTTTGACTTAGTGTGTTGTATGAATGCAGCCAACTGTTGCTCATTCAGTAAACAAAACTTAAACCAATTAATGCTTTAACATATAAATTCACTCTTTGGGAACAGGCTACTTCTGAGAACATAGCCCAACAGAATGTTTTCCAATTTCAGAACTAAACTTGCAACGTTTTCATGCAAAAAAGAAAAAAAAATCAATTTCTAGTTCTTTTCCTTATCAAGGTTATTTTTTTTGTTTTAATGCAGCATAATTCAGGGGGAAATCATTTTCTGGCAAATGCACCCTGCAGGCTTGAGAATCATGTTGACTAGCATGCAAATTACCCAGAATATACTCATTAAACTGCCTATTTAGAGTTTACATATCTACTTTGGCCTAGGTAGGAATCTGTTACATTATTTTTTTCAAACTCTGCTATTAGGAAACAAATACGCAGAATGAGAAGCATATTTTTTTAGTAAGTTAAGTAAATATTAAAGATGCCAGGAATAAATGTACGTATTTTCTCTCATATTGGTGCATAATCTACTTTTGACACTGATTCAATCAGATAGAAAGATTGTGAAATAAATTTGTTATTATTCAGAATATCCAAGATCCAAGAGATGTACTCTAAATAAGAAATATTTGGAAGAAATAGTGTACATTTTTGCTTTTACACTATCTGGTGGATTTTAGAAATCCACCAGAACTCTTCTTTAGGTTTTGCTTATGTGTTACAATTTTTTAAATGTAGAATTTGGTTTCAAAAGCTTAGCTGGGAAATTATTAAGGAAATCCTAAAACTGCTATTTCAATTGGTGGGCATGTTAGCAGAATTTGAACAAAATTTAAAGATTCACCCATTCGTGGATGGAGAAACCAAATGTATAAAAATATCTTTATTAGTTTATATCAAAACCCAAATAGTATTTCTGAGTATATGTATCTTTTGAAATTCACAAGTGGTTTATCTTACCTGGCTATAACAGCAGTAACTCAGCGTGTGGCACTAAGGAGTTATCTGTTTCATGTTCTTGGAAAGTCCAGCTGGACTTAGTGACTCACGGTAGATCTCCACCCCAAAACCAAACATTACCGTTTGAAAAGGTGGAGTTTTTGCACACAGCAATCAAAACTATCAGGCACCAAAGTATAAATAAGCTTCACAAAAGAATATGCACTTTCTTAAAATGTAATCTATTTTAAGAAGTATTAACAGTGCTCCCCAATGGAGAATTTAAAAACAAAACTTCAATTACTTGGGTTTAACTAATGTTTAAATTGATAAGACAAGAATCCCATTTCAGTACAGTTTTGAAAAACTGAAAAGCATGGGATGCACTAATGAAAGGAAATTAGTTCGGCTTTTAGTATCAACTTTTGAGAGCCCATGAAAGTTGTTTCAGGTATTATTTATTTTATGTGCTGCCTATTTCCTAATAAGATGACTCTGGATCTCTGTGTGCATGTGTTTGTTGACTAGAGACCAAACATACAACAATGTTCCCACCTATTTTCCTCACAACCACCTGATCTGAAGGAGAATGATGGGCCCCAAAACCCCCAGCTGGTTTTCATATCTAAGAGAGGCCTTAAACAGAATCTCTTGATTTCTAGACCATCACCTTAACAGTTACATCAAACTGGGTCTAGTATTTTTCTTTAGATGTGTAGCAAAAACAAAAATGTGAGATCAATCTGTTTTCAATATTCTGTGCTAATTCTTTCTGAGAACAGAACATTTTATTGCTGGGCAGTGGGTGTGATGACTTACATATATGCACAAAATATCCATAAATGCCCTGTGTTATCAAAACTAATGCATTTAACTCTTCAGTGCTTTGTGAATAAAAGAAAAAGCAATGGATGCATCTATCTTGGAGCTGCTGAATAGCAAGAAGCATCTTAAGTGATTTGGCACACTGCCTTTTCTCTTGTGATGTTTAACACAGCTACTTTCACAGTACACAAACCCAAAAACAAAACAAATGATTGTATTCATCAGGCATTTATTGTAGCAGTACATAGTGACTCCTCTGAAAAAATGTTACTGTAAAGTCTGCATCCTGTAGATATATTTCTCTATTTCAGCAATCCTCAACCTGATGACTTCTAAATACTAGTAGAAGATAATACAAATTACTATATTGAAAGGTCATTGGTTTGAAAAAAGACAGTATTGTACTACCAAAACAATCATGCAAGTTACCCAGTCGTTTACAAAAATATACTTCATGTGCAGATATCTGAACTGCCCATTAACTCAACTGGACATACTTCTGACTAGAGAAAAAAGGGGAGGAGATACAAGTAGTCCTTGACTTATGATAGTTCCTTTAGTGGCAGTTCAAAGTTACAACATCACTGAAAAAAGTGATAACAATTTTTCACATGACCATTGTGGCCTCCCCATGGTCACATAATCATGTGATCACCTTTTGCAACCTTCTATCAAGCAAAGTCAATGGGGAAGCCAGATTCACTTAACAACTGTGTCACTAACTTACCAACTGCATTCACTTAACTGCGTCAAGAAAGGCCATAAAATGGGACAAAACTCACATAACTAATGTCTTGCTTAGCAATTTTTGCCTCCAGATGCTGTAAGTTGATTACCTGTATTATGTATGCTGCCTTAAAAGCTCCTTCATAAAAAATCTGACAAAACATAACTAAGATTGTGCTGTAAATGATGAATACAGGAGAGAAAAATGGTTGTGCAAGAATGAACCAGCCTACAAAAAGTTTCTATCCGCTGGTCTGTGAGTCATTGCTGACTAGTCCCTGCAGTTTCCTTTGCAAAATTTCAGAAGTGGTTTACCATTGTCTGCTTTCTAGGGATGAATGTATATGTCTGGCTCAAGGTAACCCAGCTGGATTTACCTCTAACCACTTCACCAGAATGACAGTTCTATATGATTTCAGTTTACTGAAAGGAAAAAACCCTCAACGAACTAATTTTGAGCAGCAGCACATTTTCACCCTGGTTCTTAGCTGGGTTGGCTTTCTACATGTCAGTAAAAGTACTTCTTTTCTATCATTTTGGAAGAGGACAAAATGTGAAAATAGCTGGTTTGGTCACAAAATAATTAGAATTAATGTCAGCAGAAACAAAATGAGTTATTTTGTATATAAATCTCCAGCTAAAACCAGAACTTGTACTAACAGGTGAGCATAGTAGATTTCTTGGGATGGAAATTGATTTGCATTAAAATGTTGACATTGGGTATTTGTGTCTCAAATTAGGATAAAATACTATTTTACAAAGGACTTGTGTAAAAATTAATAGGTTTCTCCTATGGAAATCGGTGTTTGGTGGAGGATTGGAATGGAGTGATCCCAGAACTGGATAGAATTTCTGAGAAAAACATTAAAATAACTTGGTTAATTACCAAAAGATGAAGGGATAGAAGGAGAACTCATCAAATTTACAGATGACACCAAGCTGTAGGGGAATAGCCAACACTTTAGAAGATTTAAACACTGAGCCCTAGCCAATAAAATGCAACTCAATGGGGAAAAAAGGAAGGTTTTACACTTAGGCAAGAAAAATAAAATCCAAATGCACAGGTATTAGAGCAGGTGCTACATGGTTCAACAGCAGTTGACTCTGAGAGGGATCTTGGAGTCCTAGTGAACAACCACTTACTGTATTTTTCAGTGTATAAGACGCACCGGAGTATAAGACGCACCTTAATTTGGGGGGAGGAAAACAAGGAAAAAAGTATTCTACCTCTGCCTACCAGCATTTAAGGTGGCGCCGCCCTCCTCCTCCTCCTGCAAGCGAGAGGTGCAGGGACTACTCACTTTC